AGCTCCCTAAATCCCAGTGATTATAATGGAACCCTGCTGTGTTTCCATAGAAACACAAAGAGTGTATTCTTCCCTGAATGTAGATGGTGGGGAGGGGTGAGGAGTGATGCTGCTGGTAAGGTGTGCAGCTACTGAAGAGCTGAAGGCTGATGCAAGGAGCTGAGATGGGAAGGCAGAGGACCTAGTGAGGAAGAGTGGAATGGGCCGAGACGGTGTTCTGTGTGCAGTGATTTCACCTGTTATTGCGTCCCATCTGCACAGCCAGCCAGCGAGGCAGCTAGTGTAACTCCCAAGTTCAACTGAGCCGTGTGCAGAGAAGAAACTTGCCCAGGGTCACCCAGCCAGGAAGTGCTTCAGCCTCCATTCAAACCCAAGAGTGTTCAATTCTGGGGCCCTCACTCCATCCTCTATATTGGGCTGGGCGTCAAGTTGTGACGGTGAGACAAAGTTTCCGTTCCATCTCCTGGTCTTTTCGACCCAGGCCTGCCAGTTCTATACACATTCTGGAATCATCCAGAGCATTAATATCATTTTCTTTTTGAGACGGGGACTCACTCTGTCACCCAGGCGGGAGTGCAGTGGTGCACTCATAGCTAATTGCAGCCACAATTTCCTGGGCTCAAGTGATCCTCTCACCTCAGCCTCCCAAGTAGCTGGGACCATAGCTGCACACCACCACACATGGCTAATTTTTATTTTTTATAGAGATGGGGTCTTGCTATGTTGCCCAGGCTGGCCTCAAACTCCTGACCTCAAGCAATCCTCCCACCTGGGCCTTCCAAAGTGTTGGGATTACAGGCGTGAGCCACTGCGCCCAACTTATTTTTCTTAAACAGGTATTAGGACACTTGTAAATCTTGTCAAATTCAGCTGATTTGTTGTCATTGTTTGTTTGTTTGAATTACGAAGTCAGAGACACTTCACATATAAGGAGAGGAAGGCAGCTGGTGCATGTGTGTGTTCATATAATTTGGCAGAAGCATATGGATGAAGAACTGGAAAGTAGGAGTAGTTGAGAGAAATAAGAAGTATATTTTGAAAGCAATTGTTATTTAATCACCTATCTCAAACACACTGGGGACAGTATCCACATCTGTCTAACTTACTATTGTGTTCCTGGAACCTGGTACAGCGTTAGGCCCAAAGCAGGATGGACTGATGATGGATGGAATGTTTTGTACAAGAAAATCTTAGACTCCTAAAATCCTAGAGGGGGCACCCACTCTCTTTGGCCCCATCTGGTACTCTATGATGAAGATTGTTTTTCTGCCACAGTAGGGAGGGCAGGGCTATTTCAGGAGCTAGGAGCATTGTGAATATAGATGCTCCCTATCTGTGAACTATGTGCGTTCCTAGTGCTAGAGGGGTGAGAATCAGAGCTTGCAACTCACCATTTTAAAGTCCTTCCTTGCTGAAATGCAGGGGTTGCCTAGGCTCTCAATCCATCTCCTTCAGTTTCCACTAGGATGAATGAGGTTCAGGTGGTACAGACAGAAACCCACTCTACCCTACCCCAGACAAACAGGGGTGCAGTACCAGGTGATGCCTCCTGGAAATAGGAGACTGTGATGTTATGATTATATATGTGTGTGTGTGTGTGATCTATCTGTGTGGGGGAATGAATAGATAGAGACAAATAGATGCTAGAGATAGATAGATAGATAGATAGATAGATAGATAGATAGATAGATAGACAGACAGACAGATAATGACAGATGATAGATGGATAATGATAGACGATAGATAATAGATAGATAATGATAGATAGATACATAGATGATAGATGATAGATTAGATAGATGATAGATAGATAGATAGACAGACAGACAGACAGACAGATAGATAGATAGATAGATAGATAGATAGACAGACAGATAATGGCAGATGATAGATGGATAATGATAGATGATAGATAATAGATAGATAATGATAGATAGATACATAGATGATAGATGATAGATTAGATAGATGATAGATAGATAGATAGACAGACAGACAGACAGACAGACAGACAGATAGATAGATAGATAGATAGATAGATAGATAGATAGATAGACAGACAGACAGAAAGACAGACAGACAGATAGGTTTTCACCCATGGTTCCTGGCTTATAACTCCCATAGCCCTTGTTACAATCTTTTGTTATCATGTTGGGTGAGTTAGGCCTCAGGAAGCAGAGTCTCTCTCTGACCTTCTCCTGTCTTCCTGTCACCTGCCTAAGGCAGGACTCTAATCTGATTGTGGATCAAGAGACTGATTCCAGAGTGGGTTCTGCCCATACCCCGGAGGAAGGAGTGCTACACAGGGGGGCTGAAGCCCCCACACTTTGCCCCACGCATCCCTTCGTCTGTATCCTTTGCAATATCCTTTACGATACACCAGTAAACGTAAGCGAGTATTTCCCTGAGTTCTGTGAGCCACTCCAGCAAATTAATCAAACCCAAAGAAGGGGTTTTGGGAACCCCAACTTGAAGCTAGTTGGTCAGGAGTTCCAAGGGCCCGGACTTGTAAGTGGGGGGAACAAGGGGGAAGTCTTGTGGGAGTGAGCCCCCAGTCTGTGGAATCTGATGCTATCTCTGGGTAGATAGTGCTGCAACTGATTTGGAAGACACCAACTGGTGGCCACTGCTTGGTAGTGGGGAGAAACTCCCACGCCTTTGGTCATAGAAGGCTTCTTCTGTGTTGATGATTGTTGTGTGAGAGCAGAGGAAAAACATGGTTTGAGAGTTTTTCCTGAAATAGAGACTCCTGAAATAAAGAGTCAGTATGTGAGTCTGCAGATGCCTCTGCCCACTGGCCTGGCAAATTCTGGGTTTTGGCGAGAAGGTCTCTAACAGCTACTGATGCCAGCACTGAGGACACAGAGTCACTGGATTGGCAGTGCCAGGAGGCTAGGGAGATTGTCTGTCTACCATTCCTTCCTCAGGAGCCAGAACAGGGCCTGCCACAAAGAAGATGCTCAATAAATGTTTGTCGAGTGACTGGCTGAATACTTGGTGCCTACTCTGTGCTGCATGTTGTATATGCACATAGCATTTAAGCTTCACTGAGATCCTTTGCGTAGGCACTACTCATTTTGCAGATGAGGACCCAACAACCTGGAAGTGGGAAATGACTTCTCCAAGATCTCACAGTGAAACTGTAGAGCTTTGCTTTAAAAAACATAGCCTATGTTTCATCCATAATACATAATTCTAATTTAACATAATAACGGCCTATAGGTCATCCAGCCAGGATTATGTTGCCATAGAGAGGGCAAGCGAGAACAGAAAGAGAAGGGATGTAAGTGGAGGAGAAGAAAGTCTGGATGAAAAATACAGAAACAAAACAATCAGATACCCTTTCCTAGTGCTCCCTAAGAACCAATACCCCGTCAGTCTGGCTATAAAACGGGCCCCCTCACCCCTCTGACTCTTCAGCCCTGCCTCTTCCATCTCAGATTCCATCTCAGAATGCTCAGGGACAAGGCATCCTTTGGGGCTTCATCCGTCATGCATGGCAATGGCAACATGCGTTTGCAGCAGCACAAACTTGGGTTCCCGGCCCTGGGAGGTGACATGGGGATAGGTAACAAGGGCAGATGTCCCTTTAATGACAGCTGTTTTTCAGCCCTTTCTGGGTATAAAGTCATTGGCCAGTCATGCCACATCGTAAACCAACATGGGGTCTTTGGTCTACCAGATGCAACATTTCATTTTCCTCCTGGCTACACAAGGAGAATGCACTGTTTTCATAACCACGTTTCCTCCACTTTCCACACTCCCACACTGGCTCCTCATCCTTGGGCCTTCTGAGACCCCTGGTATGAAACCAGGTAACAAACACATCGAAAAGCTTAAGAGCTTTCTTATAAGCATCTTGGCACTGAAAATTCCTCTGTAAGTAAATCCTCCTCATGGAGGAAAGTGGACAATCAAGGACAGAGGGAACCGGTGCTCAGCCCACAGGGATGTCTAAGAGGATTTGTTTTTCCTGCCCCGGCTCTCTGGGTTCTGGGGAGGGTTAGCCAGAGTGAGGAAGCAGGCTCAGCCTCTGAGTCCTGCTGGCCTGACTCCCAGACATGCAGAGGTCACAGACAGCATCAGCACCCACTCCCCATAGGCCAGGCATCTGCTCAACACCCATGTCCCCTGACCTCAAGGACCCGGGTCTGCGACAAATTCATTTTCACCTCCTCGATGTTTGTGATAATCAGCACAGGACAATGGAGTCTGTATGTTAATGACACCAAAACACACAAGTAAAATAGCCAACAACAACAGCAACAACGAAAAAGAGCATGGGAACGTCCATCCATCAGTAGAGGAATATTTAAATACATCATATTGAGGAATACTACAAGGCAGTCTTACATGTAAAGCTCTCCAAGATACATCTTTAAGCTGAGATGCAATTCAAAGAGCAAGGCATAATCTATTGGTAGAAATTATGTTAATGATGACGATGATAGCGGTAACAGAAGCTAACACATATTGAGGACTTAGCGCACACCAGGCCTACTCTGAGCACTTCATTTATATGATCTCAGTTTACACACATTAATTCCAAAGAAAGCCTTTGAGATAGGTGCTCATATTACCTCCATTTTACAGACGATGAAACTGAGCAGTCAGTTTTCTTATCTGTTCCTCTGCATTATCTCAATTTTTTAATAATGGTTTTATTAAAGTTTTCATGCATAACACATGCAAAGAAAACCCATTAATGATTAAGAGAGAGACTGGAGCTAATATTTACAGAACACTTGCCATCAGGTCTCACTGACCCTCAATAACATCCCTGTGAGGAAGGCATTACAGGTGCCAATTCAATCAATGAAGAACTAGAGGTTCAGAGAGGTGGTATCACTTTCCCAAGGTCAAACAGCCAGTAGGTACCTAAGGATCTAGGATTTGATCCCAAAGCTCTTGTTCTTCCATGTTAGTTGGGGCTGAGTGATGCTAAATCAGTCTGTGCTGATTCGAATTGACTTTCCTTCCTTCCTCTCTGTGTTTTTCAGTGTAGAGTATGATTTTCGGCAGCAGGAAGGCAGGTTCCATGAAGTTTTGCAGAGTCTGGAGGAAGCAGAGCCAGTCGAGGAGGCATCGCCCCCACCAAAGTCCCCAGCAAAACCCCCAGCCCCGGAAAAGCAGGACTTAAGGCAGAAAACCAAGAAGGTGAAAAAGAAATGCTTCTGGTGGATCTGAGCTGGTTGGGACCATTCCCCAGCCTCCCATCTCCACGTACTTCCCTGAGATGGAAAATCCACTGCACTTAAGGTCTGCCCCACTTCTTTGCAAAGGTCCTGGGCTGTGAGCCCTTTGGTCTGTGAAACAGAAGAGCCTTGGAGCTGATGTAGCCGCTGCTGGACACCTGACCGCCATCCTTACCTGAGTGCGTGCCACTGCTTCCTGAGGGCTTCACGGACACTAGGGTGACCACTTGCCAAGTTCCCCGTCACATTCAGCCAGAACTCAAGCTGAGTTGCAAGTCCAGATTCCCACCACGAGCAAAACCCCACACTATACCTTCCAACACCTCCACGATGCTAAGCACTTCCTTTCCATCCTGGGTTCATCAACCCAAAAGAAAAAAATAGTGTTGTGCAGAGCCGGAAGATAGAGGGATGTTATAGGTTATACACAGGTACCATAGAAAAAAATGAGATAAACTGGCAGTTTTCTAAGATATCAGCATAATAAGCACAAGAGAAGTGGGCAGGGCATAAAATGCAGGTTCACCCTGGTATGTTGGGTTGTTTTCCTTTCTAATTGATCCCCTTGATCCCAAATTAAGGCTCTGTCATCTCATGGTGCATGCATCTTTCTGCCTGTGGCAGAGTCAGGCCACCCCAGGGTATAAACTTGTTGGGGTGTGTGCTGGACAATTGTAATTCAAAGAGGATTTCAGCAGTTGTAGCTGTTCCAGGGCCCACCCTAAACCATCATGCTTCTTCTCTGCCTGGGGCCTGAGACCACCTGGCAATTGGGTGGAGTCTGTTTTCGGTGTGAACTTTAAGATTCCATAGTTAACTTACCTGCAACATTTAAAATCATGAGATCCAGCAACCTGTCCATCAGTTACATCTTATGAGTAACATAGATATGGCTAAGATAAAACACAACACTGTTTCTCATCCCTTCATCCCAGAAACAGCCATGTAGATAGGTTCAAACATATATTAATCAACACAGACTCCCTTCCTGGTGACCAGGCAATGGTCACCTGATTAAAAAAGTAGCGGGACTGGGGATGAGGATATAGTTTTTTCTATTTTAGTTTTAAATACCTTTCTATCCCAAAGTCTGAGTTCTTCAAGGTTTGGCTCATTCTTTTTGACAAGACCTGCATACATGTGGACCCAGTCAAGTTTGCATGGCTGAACAAACGACTAAAGTAATATAATTAAGTAATTGCTACATACTCTTGGGGATGAGGGGTAGGATGGAAAGGCTCAGATACCTTCTAGTTGAATTAAATTCTCCATCAGCATGTGGTTAGATTGACATTGCTAGAAAGGGATCCTGAAACTAAACATACATTAAACGAAGAAGGTATTTTGTAATCCCCTTGGCTGAAGATCCAGTGTCTAAACTAGAATCTTTGTAGAGCACAGCGTCCTGTGTGTTTGTGGGATGTACCTACCCCACTGTAAATGGAGCCTAATTGAGCAAACCACTCTGATGGTTTCACCTTCCCCTGTCATAGCAATGCAGTGCACAAAGCTATTTCAGTGAGAATGAAAGGGAAATTTGGCAAGGAATATCAGCTTGCACTATTTAAGTCTTGGAATGTCATTCAAGATGTTCTTGTTCTGTTTCTAGTGTAATGTTTAAGCCCACAGAATGAGACCGGAATATATAACGTCATGTTAGAATTAAGATAAATACACTTGTCATACTTAAGAAGCCACATTTCAGTAAGATATGCTACCACTATCTAAAAGCCACAGATTTTTTTTTTTTCCTGTATCCATACAATCGACTCTCAGTTGGCCCCAGCAATGGAAAAGAACAGAATAGAGGATAATCCAATACAGTGAAATCATTTGGGATCTCTTATGTAATTTTATCTTGTAGTAGAGCTTCCATCTTAATTTGCTTTGCTTACACTAATTTCATATGAATTTACATTCTCGGGCATCATGCTAGAATGTAAAAACCCTGTTCCTAGAATTAAGAGACCCAGGCAACCAAGCAGTCTATCCCACTAGCCTTTGGCAAATGGCTTAAATTTCCAGGGCCTGTTTGTCCATTCTTGAATAGAGATAAGAACATATGCTTTCCTACTTTATAAACTCTTAGCACGTTCCACATTACGTGAGCTGAGTGACTCAGAGCTGAGCTGGATTACTGGCCAAAGTTAGCCTGGCAAGATAAAGAGATGTTTGAGGTACCTCACACAAAATTAATAAGCTCATGCGGTCATAGATATGTTTCCAGTTGGGGCCCTCACATGAACCCTTAACGGAATTAAATAAAACTGGGACTAGAAAATGTTGACATTTTGTGCACTTCCCCAACAAACAACAACAACAAAAAAAAAAAAAAAAAAAAAGAGAGAGAGGAAATGTTGACATTTCTAGAAATACAGCCAAACAAGGCTATACTGATTCTACACTAAAGCACAACACCGCATTGCTTGGGCCACTGAGCTGGAACTGGGAAGGAGTTATCTTCTGAAAAATTGATACTTAAAATCATTATGAGGAAACAGGATTCCATAAACATTTTCCTGATGAACAAAAATGATCGTCTCTATGTTTAAAACACCATACACACATATACCAAAACTGCATACTCACTTGTTCATGTGAAAATCACTGCTTCTTTGTAAAATATTATGTAACATCTACCATGATATTCTACAGAAATGCTGTACTTGAGGTGATCTGGTTATCTGGAGAGGTATTAATTTAGCAAAAATTACTTTTATAAAATTGAAAGGAAAAAGACCAATACATCAACTTAAATTGCAGGAGTTTATGTAGCTGCTTTCTCTGTAGTTTAAAAAACAATGCATAAATGTGTACTCACTATCCTTGGAACTTAATACCAGCTCATCTATAGAGTACCTTCTTAAAGACGATGTACTGATGTAAGGTTTTGTAAATTTCTAAACTGTTTTAAATGGGATATTATCTTTTGCAATAAACTTACATATTTTTTCTAGGTTTTAAGACTCCATTACTAGCTTGGGTTGATTTTGGTTACAAAATGTATGCTTAAGAAGCACACCTCAGTGGTCCTAAGGGCAAGTATGGCTTTTGTTATAATTGCTTCTATATATTTCTAAGGGAAATAAATAAAGAGCAGATTCAGAACTTAGTGTCATGATGATCACATGAAGCCCCGTGTGTCCTGTGAGCGAGGGAGGCAGCATGAATCAATGGAGAGCTGCTCCCAGCCTCATTCCCAGGGATGCACATGCATGACTTGTATCATTATGCTCAGACACCTGAACTCTATTCAGTACTTTTCTTTAATTATTTCCCCTTTAATTTTTTTCCTTAAAAGTCAAATTTGTATCACCAATGTGAAGAAGAACAATATCATGTTCCAAAAATAGAAGATGAAATAAAAATATATCTTATTAAATTCTTGCTAAACCCTGTTGCTGTCGCGGCTGCTAAGCCTGAGACCAGCTCTCTGTTAAGAGGGGATATTAGCAAATATTCAACACATACTAAAGCCGCATTCACACCAAGCCCATTTTCTACTTGACTAATCAGGATGTTTGAGAGAACTGAAAAGAAAAAACTTTCCTCTCATGTGATTCAGTATTCTTTTTCCTGCCTTTTCCACGAACCATTTAAAACCAGCTTGGGTTTACACCTGGAGAGTAAGTCTCCCATTCTGGGAAACCCCAATTTAGAGAAACAATAACAAACACAAACCCCGGACATAGAATCAGAAATCTCGGGTTTGACAGTGTTGTGCTACCTTCTTTTTGCTGCATAACCTTGAGCAAGTTACTTAGCCTCTGTGAGCCTCTGATTCCTCTGATATACCCCCTGCCTCCCAAGAGTGCCTTGACAATGAACTCAGTGACAGCCAAGAGCACAATGTAGGGTACACATCGGGCCAGGCCCTCAATAAATGCATATTCAGTCATTTGTGGATTGAAGTCAATTGGGAGAGAGAAAGGAAAGTAACTCCGTGAAGCTGCAGTGGTTTTCAGAAACAGGTATTTCTCGGGGCAAGGGAAGAACACTTCCTGTGGGTGCGATGGCTCACACCTGTAACACCAACGCCTTGGGAAGCCAAGGTGGAAGGACTGCCGATGGCTCACACCTGTAACACCAGCACTTTGGGAAGCCAAGGTGGGAGGACTGCCGATGGCTCACACCTGTACACCAGCCTTGGAAGCAGGTGGGAGGACTGCCGATGGCTCACACCTGTAACACCAACACTTTGGGAAGCCAAGGTGGGAGGACTGCTTGAGCTCAGGAGTTTGAGACCAACCTGGGCAACGTAGTGAGACCCCATCTCTAAAGCAATTAAAAAATTAGCCAAGGGTAGTGGCTTGCACCTCTGGTCCCCATCACTCAGGAGGCTGAGGCAGGAGGATAGCTAAACCAAGACGGGGAGGCCTGGAGTGAGCTGTGATCATGCCACTGCACTCCAACCTAGGTGACAGAGCAAGAGTCTGTCTCAAAAAAAAAAAAGAAGGATCCACCAGAAACCATGACAATGAATGTTAAGTAATGTTAAGTAATAAAGTCGTCCATGATTCAAAAGAGCATATGGGCACATAAAATACGGCAAAGCACTCTGGGAATGAAAGATTCTTGTTGTGTGGAATCAAATATCCTAGAGGTGAAAGAGACTTTAAGAGCCATGTCCCTTCCATTTTAAGCATGAGTCAATTAAGGAAGGCTAAATGATTTGACCAAGGGCTTATAGCAATCCTGTGGGGAAGTAGGTGTTGGGAGCAATGTGGTTGGTGGGTGGAATGTGTGAGGGGCCGGGGCCATTCCAGGAAGCATGAGGCTAGACTTGAAACCCGTTCTTACCTTCATTAGCTGAGCTGAATCCTCAATATAACCTTCACTTGAAAAGGCTCTCATTTTAAGCTGCTCAAGGCAACTTGCTGTATGCTAAAAATGTATTTCTTTTTATAAATGCCAAGAAACAAAGATGTTTTATGATCACTACGCCCATCAAGCATTGCTTGCAAGAAAAAGTGCGGGGGACAAATCCCAATCCAACACTGTCGGCATTCGGCGCAAACCACATTTGACTGCTTTAATGAACATAATCCCATTTTTTAGTACCTTCACCTCAACTTCCTCCCCATCTTCTTTTCACCAATTTACAGCCTAAATTTCTATGGACCATATTATACCACCCCTACTCCTGAGGTTTTGCAAATGTCTAATTTCTCTCTGCCTCCTACAGAACTCTCAGCCCATAAAGAGCAGGGATGCATCCATTGGCAACACAGAGTTTGGTCCTCTCATTGCCAAACTAAGCCAAGTTCTCAGGTCGGCGTGCCTCTTCACTGTGGGCATCCTGTTCTAAACCCACTTCATTTCTCAACTGGCCTCTGCAGGAACCTCCCCAATAGGTCTCCCCACATGCAATATCTTCCCTTACACTTATTTTTTTTTTTAAATATATATTTGAAACAAGGTCTCACTCTGTCACCCAGACTGAAGTGCAGTGGCACTATCCTAGCTCACTGCAGCCTCAGACTCCCAGGCTCAAGCAATCCTTTTACCTCAGCCTCCCCAGTAACTGGGATTACAGGTGC